CGATGTGATTTCTAAATTAAATTTTAACATTCCACTATATTATAGATATGTGGATGATATTATTCATGCAATTCCAAAAAATTATATTAATTAATGAGACATGAGATACATTCAACTCCTTTCATGATAGGATTACATTTACTTGTGAACGGAATTATGAGAGTTCGATAAATTTTTTGGATGTTACTGTGTATGTTGACGAAGGACAGATTAGATTTAACAGTTATAAAAAACCGACGAATTCTGGACGCTATCTTAGTTTTCATTCGAATCATCCGCTTAAACATAAAAAAGGTGTTATTATTGGCCTACTTGATAGAATTTTATTTCTTGCACATCCAGAATTTCACAATAAGAACATTGAATATTGAAATGATGATTAATACTTTACTTGACAACGGCTATCCTTTAGACTTAATTTTTAATACCATTAACAAAAGAATCAAATGTCTAGCTAGAAGAAAGAATGTATATAATAATAATTCTCAAAATTCAGACAATGATAATTTAATAAATACATATTTTACGGTGTCATACATAAAAAATATCTCAGAAAAGTTTAATCCTTAGCGTAATAATTTTAAAATCGCATATAAACCAATGAATAAATTAAATTCGATAATTAAAACAGGTAAAGACAAACTTGATAAAATGGAACAATGTAACGTAGTTTATAAAATTAATTGCCTGAATTGTTGTTTCGTACTCGTTGTCTCGTATTCGTCTTATTCCCCCTCCGTCACCGCGACGGATCACGAAAACGACCGAAGCCGGCAACGTAGGTCTGCAGCGCATTGGCGCGCCGCGCATCTCAACACAAGAAATCATCATGACTGCCGATCCGTCGTCACGAGTGCGCGTGTCCTCGAATTATCGCGTCGAGTGTCGAACCACCACTGTCACGCGAATATTACCGCCCGTACGAGGTGAATAAAGTTGTTAAAGCAGAGAAACCACGCATTATTTCTCGACCACGTCCCCGCGACGCAGTTTTACCGCGAGAACGACGTGGAAACCAGCCCGTTAAGCAAGCCTGCCATCTCGGCTCGCACTACGAGCAAACAATTGTGAATCTTCATACGTCGGACAATCTAAAAGAAAAATAAAAACGAGACTGAAAGAACATAAATCTAGCACTTCTAATGCAAACACAGTGCATAACGTAGTAGCACAGCATCAAATTAAATATGATCATAAATTCAATTGGGATAACATTGAAATTTTGGACACAGAACCTTTCTTTCAAAAAAGATTCACATCAGAAATGATATACATTAAAAAACAAATACAAGGAATTAATAAACAAAACGACACTGAAAAGTTACGAATCATATTTACCGTTATTAAACATATCGTCCTCTACATGATACTAGAACCTTCTATCGCTGACTCAGTAAATGTATATAAACTGTCAGACTCGTACAGAAATTAATATAACGTTTTTAACATTGATTATTATCGCATGGCTTTTCCATGTTCTTGATTGCAGTTCATCTCATCTTCGACACAGGTATTCTATAAATAAAGGTCTATTAAGAACTATTAAGATCATTTTAATCTTTTGACTGTTGTTAAACTATACTTTTTAATTACAATGTATTAAATCGAATCCGACTAAGTATCCTGATTTTTGTTATAAGATAACGATTTGTGGTTTTTCTTTCTTTGAAATTTTTTAAACTCGACTATTTAATTATAATGTATTAAATTGAATCCGACTAGGTATCTCGATTATTGTTATAATATAACTATTTGTGTTTTTCTTTTTTCTTAATCTTTGACTTTGTTAAACTAGACTATTTAATTATAATTTATTAAATTGAATCCGATTGAGTAATTGTAATATTGTATAAGATAACTATTTAGTTTATTACATGTGGCATGTTATTAATTGAATTACTTTTGTACATATTATCTAATAGAAATTGGAACTTTTGTGTGGACTTACATTGAGAAAATTTGCTCTTATAAGTATCAAAATCTGTCAGACAATCAGACTCGTATGGAATAGTTGCATTTAATTGGTGGAAAAAAAGCACACTATCAATGAATTGAGAAAATAACATCTGCGAGTAATGTATTAATGGATATTTGTAATCTCATAATACTATATTTTATAATACTATATTTTATAATTAATGGATATTTGTATCTCATAATACTTATAATTGTAAGACTCTATTGTTAAGACTTAAATTATTTTGTAATATATGCGTATCACACTTAATTATTTTCATACTGAGGAAGATCTGATTCAAGACCGAAACGTCTATTTATTGTATTATATTAAATATATTAATTTTAAGCTATCGATACCAGGCGTTCGTGGTTATATGCCTTTTTAATTACATTCGTACCACGTATCTAACTTAAGTTGTAAATTGTTGCTTTCCAACTATGCCTTTAAAATTTTTTTAAATACGAGAAAAAATTCTGTTTTCAAATTTGACATTTTCATTGCTATGTTTAAAAATTGTTGAGTTTCTTGCTAAGTTTCCCTAATTACTGAGCCTTTTTTCTGCTCAATTAATAAATATTGTTTGGTAAATCACTAACAAGTTATAAGAATTGCTTCTAATCGTATAATATTTTTAAAATTTCTTAGTTTGGCTAGGCAAGAAGTCGTCAGAGCTGAGATTAAGAACTGCTATCAGGACAGATGAGAGGATACGATTAATGAACGAGATTATTAGTGGAATTCAAGATGTATACCTGGGAGAATTTTTTCACCTCGCTCATAAAAAAAGCAAGAAAGTAAGTACTACCGCATAAACTGATTACGTAAAAAATATTTGTATCGATTGTACAATACATTGCAACAAGAAAGATGATTCTTGCAAAACCTGTTTGTGATAACGCCTTCGTAGCCCAAAAAATAGAAGCAGAGAATATTTCTGTTTTTTCATGTTTGTATTGACAAAAATTCCAGTATTAGAAATAAAATTCCAATATTAGAAATAGTCATATCCTGGGACGATTAATATTGATATTTTTTATTTGAAATGAAAAAGAAAAAATATATATATTGTACAATATATATAAACGCTACAAAATTCAATTTTAGGAAAGAAGTTAATATCATTCATTGGGCGTCATGTGTCAGAGGTATCGTCAAATCTTTCATCGTCTTTATGACATCGTCTTTAAGAATATCGTTGTTCATTACGATAATGTCTTATATTCTGTTTGGCTACAAAATAACGGCCGAGAAGGTGTATGTGATAACTGCCTATTACAACAGTTTAAACTTAATCATGACTGCCTACTTTCCGCAAGGTATGCGATAATTAGTGTAGCAATGTATGTGACAAATACATATGTGAATGACATCGATCAATATTGACGCTTGCAATGCTCCTTTTTATTTCTTCGTTTTTACTTTTTCAAGTTTTTACTTTTCTTTTTTTATCTGTCTTTCCTTCCTCACTGTTCAACACTGAACGATGAATTCCTCGCTGCATTTGTAGCAAAGTCGACGTAATGTGTTCACGAGTATTTGCATGCGATAACTTGTTGATTGAAGTCGTAACGGTTACAATTGGCAAATTATTATACGTAATTAGTCGGTAACTCGAAACTATGGAAATTAAATCATCTATTGGTAGTTATAGAAGATAATTACTTACTTATCTACGAAATGTTAAGTACATCACGACTATGACGGTCTAATGTATTTTGATTTACTAACAATAACAGGATAGACAAACTGATGTAATCAAATCAGACGGACTGCTTGCACGATTTATTAGTGCTATCCATTGAATTCACCGTATAATTTCTCGTAAACAAGCAGTAGGTCGTACTATACAAGGACTGGTTACCTTACTTCTTTTCAATTATTATATTTTATACTTTACGCACTTTATTATCTTAATATCAAAATAAATTAAAGTTTTGTTTAAGAATCATATCTAACGTTAAATATAAAGTAAATTATTCTATTCTACATTTTTATTTTTTTTATTTGTTTTTTGTTTTTATGATAACCCAGGAATAACACAAGTAGCGGAACCGATTGTGTTCATAAAACGACTGCAAAAATTCCTCATGTATGTCGAACTGACTCTTTCCGAGATTGAAGCAAAGAAGTACAATAAGGAGAACAATAAGAACACAAAAGAGAATAATAAGAATGGGAAGGAGAATAACCAACAGGATGTGAAGGGGAATATAAAGAAAAATTCGAAGGAAAATTTAATCGAGCAGAAGAAGAACGATAGCGCAATCATAGACTAACTGAACAATGTCGAGTTTAGCGTGTCCATCAAGGACGGAAATGCTAAGTGGTTGGATTATGAACAAGAAGATATCTTACTGAACATCAACATGAAAGTACGTTTCGGTGAACTAATCGCTGTTTTCGGCCAGGTCGGTGCGGGAAAGAGCAGTCTATTAAACGTCATCCTGAAAGAATTGCGTTTGC